ATGAATCCTCGAATTTACAGTCCAGCAATTTAACTATTAAACCACACCCAGCACCTAGTTTGGTTTGTTTTGAATTTCGAGCAAAGTTACACGAGGACTATCTGCGCTAGCCGTCCCTAATTTAGCAGTAATAGACTAGAGAGAAGGCCGCTACTCAACACTACCTACCGCCAACTCTTGGGTTACTGTTTTAGCAACGAACAGTGGGATTGCCCGTCACATTATAATGCCCCAACGCCTGAAAGGGCAAGTATGTACGGTGTAACGGGGATTCGAACCCGCGACCCTGAGATTGCGAGTCGAGTGTCCCAGTATCTATCGCTCTACAAAAATATTTGAAATTTCGTCATATCAACTAGGATGTCTAGACTCTAGATGCTGTTGACCCCCCCCCCCGTGGCACAGCGGCATGTCTGTGAACTCGCAACCCTAGAAACCGAGTTTCGATACCCGTGGTGGGCAGAGCATAGATAGCCAATCGTGTAGCTTTGTGCTTTACTACAAACAACCAAACTGTTGAAAAAAAAAAGACCAAAAAAGTGATCGCACTCGACAAAATTTAGATATCAAACGTCAAGTGTTTTTCAATCATTTATAAATGTCTTTAAGTACATTCAAAAATATAAAAAAACTTCATTATAAAATACATATATTTTATTTTTAACAAGGAAAAATTGTACGTAGTAGTTTTTTCACTGCTTCCAGTTCTCCACGTGTTTGACGAGCAAAAGAAAAAAAAAAAAGAGACAAAATCGTGAAAGATTAAAATCTGTCACTATGCTCGAAGAATTCGCGAAAATCAAGAGACTCTTCGTTGACATGAACAACATAAGTTATCTCTAACTTCAGATTCTCATCTTCTGCGTTGTTAACCTGGTTAGGCACCAGTTTCAATATGGCATTTCATACTAAAGAAGAAAGCGTTGTTTCAACATTTACACTTTCATATAATAATAGTTTCACAAATGAATGATACTCCATCTTGTTTTCAACACAACGATGGTTTAGTCCTATCTCTCTGTACTGAGGGCTACCTTTGCTGTTCCCACTACGGGTATCGAAACCCGGTTTTTAGTGCGGTGGTTTAATACCAAGATTCTATGTCTGAAAAACATGATTCATATCAGTCTACGAAGTCAAAATACTGAATAATTCTAAAATAGATGTTAGCAGAAGATAAACCTGGTTCATGTCCGTTGACAAGTTCAGTATTTTGATTAATTAAAACATAGAAGTTCAGTAGTAGCGAGTAAGGCCTAGTTTGTATTAAGATTATTTTGCTTTGTATATGCAAAAATGTTTTAATTTCACTTCCCAGAAAAGCCACGACAGTTTGAAACAAAGGAAATGCTGTAATATTTCTATATAGTTTTCCTTCAAGGAAAACACGGTGTTGGGTATTAAATTACTTCTTGTTTCAAAATGAACATTAAACATCCTAAACACGGAAGTTAAATTACGTATTGTTTAAAAGTGAACATTAAACATCCTAAACACGGAAGTTAAATTACGTATTGTTTAAAAGTGAACATTAAACATCCTAAACACGGAAGTTAAATTACGTATTGTTTAAAAGTGAACATAAAACATCCTAAACACGGAAGTTAAATTACGTATTGCTTAAAAGTGAACATAAAACACCCCCCCCCCCCCCAAGTAGCACAGCGGTATGTCTACGGACTTACAACGCTAGACTCCGGGTTTCGATACCCGTGGTGGGCAGAGCACAGATAGCCAATTGTGTAGCTTTGTGCTTAATTACAAACAAAATCGTCAATCCCCCCCCCCACATCAGTGGCACAGCGGTATGTCTGCGGACTTACAAACGCTAGAAACTGGGTTTCGATACATGTGGAGGACAGAGGCACAGATAGCCCATTGTGTAGCTTTGTGCTTAATTACAAAAAAAAAACAACAACAACAAAAATCGTCAACTGGACAGCCAAAATAAATTAAAATTTCTTCTCGTGCTACCCTTGCCGTAAAACATAGAATATTTATGCGATTTCGACCGTCTGTTTTAATGTGTAACCAGTTATACACGATCGATTATGTGGTTCTAATTTAAGCCTAGAAAAAAGATCCTCATAACTGGCGCATATAGAAGACAGTATCTTCTTTATCTGGAACACACTGTTGTCAAACATATAATAATTTTAACATTTTTAATCGGGTTAAGAGACATTGTTGGGAGCCAACACAGACACGTGCAAAACACATTTCTTGGAGAGGAGCTTCTCGCGTGTCATACGCTCATTTTTTTATTATCTAATTTCTTAGTAATCATTTGATTTATCACTACGTTTCGTGTTTTGCTGCATCTTGTAAACTACACACACACATGAGTTATAAATATATGTATAAGTAATCTTCTAAATGATACACCTCATCTTAGTGGAATTATATATTTACAAGCTGGGATGTATAAAAAAAGAATCTTGACCGTATCTCTAAACCTAACAGCGGCAGTCGTTATCTTATTTTACAGATTCTTAGTTCATAAAATAATGTTTATGACGACTAACATCGCACCTTGATTTATTTCATTCAGCTTGGGTAAGGGACATTTTCAAACATTATTTCAAAACACCATCCTTACAACGACACTGTAAACAATGTTACGCTTTTCTTACAATGTCATCGTCTACGTTAATACTTACAGCGATTAGTTTTGTTTGTAGTTAAGTGCAAAGTTACACAATGGGTTATCTGTGCTGTGCCCACCACGGGTGTCGAAACCCGATTTCTAGCGTTACTGCTGTTCCGTTCGTACAACTATTGTTTTGTTATCTTAAAACCCTATTTCTGTTTCAGATTACCAGTAAACCTTAATCACGCATTTTGTCTTTTTAATTATCCTTAGAACCATCTTTTCATGGCCACGTGGTTAGGGCGCTCGACTCGCGGGTTCGAATCCCCGTCACATTAAACGTGGTCGTCCTTTCAGCCGTGGGGGCGTTATAATGTAACGGTCAATCCTATTATTCGTTGGTAAAAGAGTAGCCCAAGAGTTGGCGGTGGGTGGTGATGACTAGCTGCCTTCCCTCTAGTCTTACACTGCTAAATTAGAGACGGCTAGCGCAGATAGCCCTCGTGTAACTTTGCGCGAAATTAAAAAACAAACAATAATTGTAATTAGTTTGATCAGTCTGAGGCTAACTGACAAAAATAAATTTCTATAATAGTTGAAGCAGCGCCTCCAGTGGTGAAGTCGAGCGTTATATATTTCGGTTGATTGTTTGTTTTGAATTTCGCGCAAAGCTACACGAGGGCTATCTGCGCTAGCCGTCTCTAATTTAGCAGTGTTATACTAAAGGGAAGGCAGCTAGTCATCACCACCCACCGCCAACTTTTGGGCTACTCTTTTACCAACGAATAGTGGGATTGGCCGTCACATTATAACGACCCCACGGCTGAAAGGGCGAGCATGTTTGGTAGGACGGTGATTCGAACCCGCGACCCGCAGATTGCGAATCGAGCGCCCTAACCACCTGGCTATGCCGGGCCATTTCGGTTGAAGAGTCAAGTTGAAATATTGTTTTATTATTAGTCTATACGTAACTTAAAATGTTTATAGCAATGTAGGGTTTAATCAGCTAAATTTAAACTGTTAAAATTTACATAGATTTATAATAATAAGGAAAAAAAAACATCTGGTATTATTATTATCAAAAAATCATCTTTACGTGCAAACAACAACAAATAAATTAAAACATGCAATTAATAATGAAATATTTTCATAAATTTACAAACTGAATTTTACCCAACATTCCTCTTAATTTCACATTTATTTTTTTGTCTTTCATAAATCACTGCCAGGAGGCCTATCGTTCAATACCAGAACACGCCAGATGGTTTCCAATGCTTCGCTAGCTTTCGTCGTTTAAGCTGTAACTTTTTCATAAACCCTTTCAAGCTAATGCCCTTACGGATGAGACATACAGAAAATAAAATCAGATTTTCGTAAAAGTTTGTTTATGTTTGTGCAGTGACGATTTCATTTTATTGAATTACAGCGTTATTGATCACGCTATCGTACACCGGTATCTGTACATATTGTGTGAGATGCGAGCGCAAGCTTAGAGAAAGAGAAAGAGAGAGAGAGAGAGAGAAAACAAACAAAAAAAAAAACTCGATACTTCGATAGAATATTTTAAAATGCGTTTTTTATAATATTTTTTTTTGGTGAGAAGAAACGTTGCGTAGACTCTAAATAACAATCTTCCGATTATTTGTATGTAACGTTTAGGCTATAGTCAGGGCCGCATTAACCGTGGCGCAGTTATATTCAATAATTAACTTAATATGTATTAATTATAATTAACTTCAAATCTGCTTGTACCCTATTTCAGGGGGCCTCAAAAAAATAAGTACGCCAGGGCCTCAAACTGCCTTAATGCGAGCTTGGCTTACAGTGACACATGAATCTGACATTTTTCATACTTACCAAAATACAGAGAAACGGATAAGCCCCCCCCCAGTGGCGGTACGTCTGCGGACTTACAACGCTAGAATCCGAGTTTCGATACCCGTGGTGGGTAGAGAACAGATAGCCCATTCTGTAGCTTTGTGCTTAATTACAAAACAAACAGAAACGGAGTTAAATAATCCTGGCATGTTGTTGTATATTTAAAGAAAATCTATAATATTAGGCCATTAAACAAGCAAGCAATTTTTTTGCACTTCTAACATTCTTTTTCTTTTTAAATAACCTTGTAAACTATTTAGATTAGGAGATCCTCATGCTCCCTCTTGCACCAGAATTACGAATGCGTTATTTATAATGTTAACTTATGAATTTTGTTGTCGATATTTATGAGAGATTAAAGAAAGCGAAAACAAAAAACTGGAACAAAAACAGATTTACTACAGAGATAACAAGAATTGACTGAATTAAGAATTCGTTTGTGACGTAAGATTAGTTTTAGCCAATGAGAATCCAACTGTAATGAAGTGTTCATTTTAAAACAATATGTAATTTAACTTCCGTGTTTAGGAAGCTATTTGAGAACGTTGTTAAACCCATTCTCACCAAACCCAAACCAAAAGTGGAACCCCCACCAGAAGAGAAGAATGGTAGTGGAGAAGGGCAAGAGCAGAAAGCTGATGCTCAGCAACCTTCCAGTCAAGAAAATATGGATACTAATTAAATAAAACTTAGAAAGAGCTTATGTGAATTACTGTACATATGTTCCATTTCTGCTATGCTTTTTCATAACCTTTAGAAGCTGACTAGTAATACTTTTTCATGGTGCAAATTTTTTTTTTCATTACTATTATTATACATAATTAAATTAAGCTTGAAGATATCGATGGTATTTGTAGTAGAAGTATTACCTAACCATACCTGTGTTACTTAGTAGATTGTGTTAAACAGGTTAATTTAACTATCATACCAGTCTTAAAATCTCAGGCTGAGTGTTGCCCAGTGGTTAGTGTTCTGGACTTTGGGCTCATTATTCATGGTTTTTTCTCAAACAAAAAATGTAATAAAATCACATTGTTATTTGGGGTTATGGATGTGTTTTTAGGGAGACAGTCAAATCCTACTGTTTGGTCAGATGAGACAAGAGTAGCCCAAGAGTTTGCAGTAGTGGTATGACTAGCTGTCCTTCCTCTAGTCTTATCTGCTGAAAATTAGGGATGGCTAGTGCAGATAGTCCTTGAATAGCTTTGTGCAAATGTCCAAAAAAGCTATCTTAATTTATGAAGGTAAGAAGAACAGTTTCTGTATGACAAATACTACATTCAACAATTCAAGTGAAACAGTTGAGAACAGGATGGTAGAACTACTGGCTAATCATACCAATTGTGACATCTCAAACTCCCCTGGTAAGTCTGCAGGCTTATGATGCTGAAAAAGAGGTTTGATACCCATGGTGGGTGCAGCACAGATAGCTCATTGCATAGCTTTGTGCTTTTCAACTAAAACAAACCATGGAATCCAGTTAAAGAGATAAGAATGGGTTAGTAGAACTACTTCCTAGCCATACTAGTTTTAACATCTGAATTTGATCTAATGAGAATAAGTACCCTACACAAGGCTTCCTGATAAGTTAATGTACATCACTTAATCAAAAGACAACATTGGTAAGCCAGACCTAACATGAAACTACTACATACATGTTCACTATTGAGAATTTATCTGTCAGTTAGGAGAGATTGGTGCATGGCATTGAGGATCCCAAATTTGATTTTGAGTGGGTTGGCTATCTGCTTTAGTTGTACGTTTAAACAAGTTTAGTTTAATAACACCTTCAAATCATAGATTAATAGTATCTGTAATCCTGTTTGGTTATAAGAAAGTAACATTAACATGAATTATCTTCCAACACATAATATGGCATGTTCACCTTGAAAATTAATACTGACTTACAAAAGATATTCATAAGAAATTAAAACATAAATTCACATACAGGTATGGATTATTGACAGAATACCTGTTGTGGAAAAGTTTGTGTAATGTAAAAGCACTGTGCGAGAGAAATATTGTTATTGAAGTTTTGCCTGTTTCGTTTCAAATAGCCTTATGTTCTCAAAAAGTTGTAAACTTCCAAACTTGTGTTTTGGTATGTATTATTATTTCAAAATTCTTATAACAAAGCTTTTATTTTTTAAACATCTTCAAACTTTAGATTAAGAAACTGTGATGTATTTTATATCCTTTTACTGTAAGAAACCATGATGTATTTTTACATCCTTTTGTTATGTTCAGTATCATTATCTCTAAGTAATCTTGAAAATATTGGACATTGAAATATATATATATGTCCCTGTAGTTCAAAGAATATTTAGCATAAAAAGTGGTTGTTTAAGAAAATGTAAGAAAGATTATATGACGAAATTCTGTACTTTCTTGGAGGTAACTACGCTGTGCTCACAAAATTAATTAGACAACAAATTATTTACTAAATGTTTAAGATTCCAACAGGTGAGTAGTGAAATAAAACCTGTTTTTGTTGATGAACTTTGTATTTGTCATAAATTTATCAGGTATATGAAGGTCACTATTGGCTATTACTTTTCCATGATAATACAAACCTTTCGCACAAGTGTAAACTAACCAATGGAAGTAACGCCAAACCTTTCACACAAGTGAAAACAAAGACGATAAACAAACCATTGGAAATAACACCAAACCTTTCACACAAGTGAAAACATACGATATACAAACCATTGGAAATAATACACACATTCCACACAAGTGAAAACAAAGACAATAAACAAACCAGTGGAAGTAACACCAAACCTTTCACACTAGTAAAGACAATTAAAGAGACAACATGTCTCTGTCATGCTATCCCAGCATAGCTAATTTTGACACCAGAAAAATCGTGAAAAAGAAAGAAAATCGACAACTGTCTGTATCACTTCTTGGGTATCTTTGAACAATATGGCTGAGTAATTGTTAAAAAAAACTAAAATTATGCGTTTTGTAGCATATTAACCCCACTATTGTTACTAAAATTGGACAAGTCCACCAATTTTGTTTGTTGGTGCATGTTGCCTGTAGAGAAGTTTCTTTGTACCAAATTCCATGTAAAGTGGTCGAAACAAGGCTAAGTAATTGACCAAAACTCTTAAAATTGTGAATTTATTTAACGTTTTGCCCCTCCCTAAAATGGGCATATCCAAAATTTTTTGTATGTATATTATGTGACCTGTAAAAAGTGTCTGTTCCAAATCCCACATAATTTGGCCTAAATACACCAGAGTAAATGTCAAAAAACTAAAAGTATGATTTTGGTGGCGTCTTGACACCCCTAAAATTACTAAAAATGGGCAAATCTACCATTTTTGTTTGTCAGTGGTGGGACCTATAGAAAGTGTTTATCAAGTTCCATGTAAATTGATCAAAATATGGCCGAGTAATTGACAAAACCCCCAAAATTATGTTTTTTGCGAGCTCTGACGGTAGTTATCCTCTCACTCTGGACTCGCGTGTTTTGACATTTACTTTCAATGTTATTGACCCTATATTGTATCAGTGTTGAGAAAGAACTGGTTGTTTGGCCACGAAACTGCTGTCATAGTTCAATGATCAGTTTGTGATAAACCTTGTCGCGAGCACGTGACAGACAGAAGTTATCTCTCAATGTCTGTTGCAGAAGAAAGTTCGTTTATATCTGTACTGAAATGTTTTAGTAGAAAACACTCATCATTATGCCTAATCCATCAAGAAAAAATATTTGTGAAATTTTCTACAGAGAGATAATAACAGTAATGGTTAAACATAGGTATTTAAATAAACCTTTAAACTATAATGGAATAAATCAACTTATTTAATATATTTATTATAGAAAGGAATTAGAGATAACTGTTTTACAAAATGTATGTCATGCGAATTATATATAGAAGCGAAAACTATTGAATTCGTGAAGTGTTTTATACAAACAGCAACCGATAGTTATAAAAGTATGCAAGGTAAGTTATTGGCCATAATATTTGCCTCGTTCAAATAATGGATAAATTAAGATAGTATTTGTGATAAAAACTGACGTATGTGATATAACACACTATGTTATAATAGTTGTTTCATTAAAATATTGGTTTTGCTTGTAACGTTTTAGTGCATTTAATTAAGTCTAGACTACATTGTTGATGACGTAATTACATATGAAGACACCCTATGATGAGATCATCATCCTGTTGAACTGTCCGTTCATAGAACCACTATCTGCCTATAGAACCTTAGTAACCCATTCTACCTACTAATACCATCCGCTATTGTAAAACACATGTAATACAGTTAAACATATAAATGAAAACTACAAACATAAGTTGATACGAGTTGAAGTCTGCATGCAATCCTAGGGAAGTATAGAAACACTATCCACTCGTAGAACCTTAGTAACGGAATCCGCCCCCTAAAAAAATAATGACCTCTGGTGGAACTATGACTTAGCTACGCGCTCCCTGGAAGCAGACAACTTCCGTCAAGTTTCATATCGGCATGACAAATTCAGACTCTATAGTGCCACTTCAGGGAACTATGACGTATCGTCTCTGATTCCTGCCACTGTGATGTCAACGTTTCTACCTCCCCTTTGAGACAATGAATCAGAGCGAGCATCTAGAGTATCCCGATAACAACTTACAACATTTTTCATTAAATTCTTAATCTTTCAGTCGTGCTGTTTTTCTAACATATAAGCACAATAGCAGATTTTGTTTAACTTTTTTTTTTTTTATCAAACCACCAGTGCTATACCCTTGATATTTCTCAAAACATTCGTGGAAAATTATTTTTCGTGTTATGTGAATAGAAAGAAGAGCTTTTCAAAATAAAACTTTTCATAAAAACTCCTCAAACTTAAGTCTGGGTTTGCCATTAATACTTCCGCAAAATTTGATTTTACTTCAGGTGGTTAGTCGCGAGTTCGAATCCCCGTCCCACCGTGGGGCGTTATAATGTGACGGTCAATCCCACTATTCGTTGGTAAGAGTTGGCGGTGGGTGGTGATGACTAGCTGCCTTCCCTCTAGTCTTACACTGCTAAATTAGGGACGGCTAGTGCAGATAGCCCTCGTGTAGCTTTCGCGAAATTCAAACAAACCAAACTATTTCCGAAGAAAAAGACAAAAAGTAGAGGTAATTTAAGGGGTTTGTTCCCTTTCAACCCCATGCATAAGAATATTTTGCATAACTAAAATAACAAGCAGCTAAAAGCATTTTCTACGAATTTTTAACACAATACCGAAACTCCAAAACCAAAAAAACAGCATCACATTAATCGCTATCAAACATATTACACCCTAACCCCACAGATCATACAAACACTACTACTACACAGTTAACATAACTAAATAAACGGACATAACCTTGAGAAGGAACCTAGCAACAGTAACTAATAGACATCCAAACCAGCTTACCAAAAACCACAAAATAGTTTTCAACAAACAACAACAGTTCAGGAGGGAGAAAGCGCTTTTCAAAACTTAACCTTTTTCTTTTTTTTAAAATTAAAACTGAAGATTTAAGACTTGATTCGTCAAGAATATTCCGACTAGATCTGATATTACTTCTCAAGAAAATAAACAATGTAAGGGCTTGGAAAATTAGGAAATTTCAATAGGAATTCAAAAATTTAGGTCATTTCAGCTTTTGTTCAAATTTAGTCCACCCTTAAATTTGTTTTTATACTACATAAGATAATTTTTGTAATGTTTTGGAAGTGATATAACATCTTTCTTTAAAATCCTGATATTACTGTCTTGCTGTTTTTCTAACAAATAAACACAATCCGAGGTTCCACATTCAATGTTACCTTAAAATACGCACATTTTTACGAGTTTAAAAGAAAAATAAATTTCTCATCAAAATTATCAACACTATAACCTTGGAATTTTTAAAGATATTGGTGAAAAATTCCTTTTTATATTATTCGACTAGAAAGAAAAAAATAAATATATTACCGTAAATAATAAAGTAAAGTTAACAAACCAAAGACTCTTCTGAAAGTAATAAAATCAATTGTCTTAAAACCCTTAAATAGATATACAGTTAAGAATTTTTGATTAATGTTGACAGAGATGGCAAGTCAATGTTAAGATTCAACATGATGTTCCATACAGCAATATTCAATATTCTTCTGCTCTTTGGAACATCGTATCAAATCTTTCTGTATTCTTCTGCTGTTTGGAACATCATGTTGAATCTTGCTGTATTTGTCTGCTGTATGGAACATCTTGTTCAATCTCGCTGTATTCTTCTGCTCTATGGAACATCATGTAGAATCTTGCCATATTTTTCTGCTCTATGGAACATCACATTGAATTTTGCTGTATTTGTCTGCTTTATGGAACATCACGTTGAATCTTGCTGTATTCGTTTGCTGTATGGAACATCACGTTAAATCTTGCTATATTCTTCTTTTGTATGTGAAATGTTGAATCTTTCTGCATTGTTTTGCTGTTTGGAACATCATCTTGAATCTAGCTTTATTCTTCTGCTGTATGGAACATCATGTTGAATTTTGCCATGTGAATCATGTTAAATCTTGCTATACTCTTCTTTTGTATGTAACATGTTGAATCTTGCTGTATTTTTCTGCTGTATGGAACATGATGCAGAATGTTTTATTATTATTATTTTCTATGGAATATTATGTTGAATCTTGGTGTATAGAGCATTGTTGAATATTACTGTATTCTTGTGTATGGAACATTTTTGAATATTGATGTATTCTGCTGTATGGAACATCATGTTGAATCCTATGGTATTCTTCTACTGTATGGAATATTATGTTGAATATTGTAATATTCTGCTGTATGGAACATTATGTTGAATATTGCTGTATGGAACATTATGTTGAATATTGCTGTATGGAACATCATGTATACTGCTGTATGGAACATCATGTTGAATCTTGCTGTATACTGCTGTATGGAACATCATGTTGAATCTTGCTGTATACTGCTGTATGGAACACCATATTGAATCTTTTTGTATTATTATACAGCTGTATGGGCATCATATTGAATCTTTTTGTATTATTCTGCTGTATGGGCATCATATTGAATCTTTTTGTATTATTCTGCTGTATGGGCATCATATTGAATCTTTTTGTATTATTCTGCTGTATGGGCATCATATTGAATCTTTCTGTATTATTCTGCTGTTATTCTTGCTTTATTCTTTTGCTGTTATTCTTGCTTTATTCTTCTGCTGTATAGAACATCATGTTGAATCTTGCTTTATTCTTCTTCTCTAATGAACATTATGATGAATCTTGCTGTATTCTTCTTTCATGTGTAACTTGATGAATCTTGCTTTATTCTTTTGTTGTACGAAACATATATTGAATTTTGCTATATTATTCATTTGTATGTAAATTGTTTTTAAATCTTGCTGTATTCTTTTGCTGTATGGCATATGTTAAATTTTGTTTTATTCTTCTGTTTGGAACATCATATTGAATCTTGCTTATTCTTCTGCAGTGTGGAACATCACAATAAATCTTGCTGT